GTTCAGAGGTCCCAGCCCTCAAAATTCTAATTCATGTGAAATACTTGATTTCACATATGTTTGGAATGTGAGGGAAGGAAAATAGACAGGGAGAAGAAAAAAAAATCTTGAAGGAAGAAACAAGGATTGTTTTGGTTGGAGATCAGTTTCTTTCCTGCTTCCCTTCTCATCCAATAGGTGGGGTAGTTTGTTGTTAGCTGGTATCTCCACCCTTGGGATGGTAAAGGTACCAGGGTTGGAGGGTTGGTCCTGGGTGAAGGGCACCTGGAAATGGGGTGTGGCACCCACCAGTCCCCAAAGGGAGACTACACCTCAAGGATCTCTTTTTGGGCCTGCTCATATCATGTGAGAACCTGGTTTTTTCTCCTTATCTCTCCTGAAGACCTCCTAGTTCCTGGTCTATATGTTAGTATCTAAACTGTATCACACTCACCCTCTCTTACTACTTCCTAATAAGGACCCTTTTTCTCCAGGAGTCTTGTATGTGGCACTTTGGGCTCACTGTGAACCTGCTACTGCAAGTTATTTTGTGTTGGTTGTCACTGTGCCAGGGCAGCAACTGCTGGGGAGACAGGGGAGTTAGAAACTGGATATCTGGCCAACCAAGTTGGAGGTGGCTGCGTTCAGCAATGGTGTGTTGGGTCCAATGGGGGGACCCAGGCAATAGTGTTTGAAGATATGTTCAGAGAGGAGCTCTGTGGCATGCAGTGTGTGGCTGTCGGCTGTCTTCAGAGCCTGTTTTAAAATTCCCAGGTGCAGGTGTTGAACCACGATGCAAAGAAAAGACCACTGACTCCAAAACCAAATTAAAGCAAGCTTATATTATATACACCAAGAGAGCTTGCCAGCAGCTGCCTTACCTGGGAAAACAGGGCCAGAGAACAGCAGCTGGTCTCATAACAGGGAATTTTTTATAACACAAAAAGTTACAACAAGGGAGGTGTCTTGGGAACTTACAGCTTGACAGGGTTCAGGCAAGTGTAATACAAGGGCAGATAGTAGGTTTATGATCTACATTGTTTTAGTAGGTTTATGATCTACATTGTTTAACATCTTAAGGTAGGGAGCAAACTCAGATTCCAACATCAAAGTTAATGAGGAGCAGCTGGGATTTCAGGGAGGGTTGTTATCTGGTCAAGGAGAACCAGGCACAGGTAAGTTCAAAGCATGGGCAAGAATCCCAAACAAGTTTTTAAAACATCAAATTATGGTCAGGCCAAAGATAAATCTTAATATTTTACAGTAAAACAGAAATAAACTTTTCATGACTTTGTGATGAGATGGCTTTCAATCTTGAAATGGAATTAGGGTGGGTTCACCACAGTCAGACTACTGCGTGTAGGGGACTATCTCTATTGCTGCAGAGTCCCAAGATGAAGGAGACCAGGGGAGCCCCACATTAGTAGATGGGGGTCCACATAGGAGTGGCCGCCAGAATTCCCGCATGTGGGTAGCTTCCAGGTGTCCTGCATGGGAGCAGCACCCAGGATTTCTGCTCAGGTGAGTGGCCAAAAATTCTGCATGGGTGGTGATGTCAATGGTCCCGATGTGGGCGAGTATTTGGGAGACCTATTCTGTTGCTGAGGCCTGGAGCTGTAATTCCTGCGCAGGAGCAGGAATATCCCTCACAGAGAAGCAGTATTCTCTCTACTTGAATCCCAGGTCACAGAGCGAGACAGAATGATGTCTCCCTCTGGCCCACCATTTTGGATCTCCCCTAGGTGTTTTTGATCTACTTGGATCAAAACAAATTATTTTCATTCTTTATTGAGCAATATTTTTAATCACTTTATCAAATCTTTAATTTATAAAACTCTTTAAGATATTTAATTTGGGTTTCAAATCTATTTTACCTAATTTGGGATTATTTACATTTAATGATCTAATATTCTCTTCCATTATTTACACTATTATTCCTAGATGATAAATAACTAAGATAATTCAGTTGCTCTGTAGCACTGAAGAACAGCATTAGCATTTCAGTGTCTGCTCATTTTATTATGAGTTTTTATGAATTTTCACATTCCACTCTACATAAAATATAGCCTATGTCTATATTTAGGAAATTAACCAAAATTAGGGATAAAAATGTCTCAAGTAGAAAATGTGTAGTGCACTTTATCAAAAGATATGATTTTTATTATGATTCTTGATTACTTTTATAGTAACATACAATAAAACTGCCATGTAAATTAAAGTCAAATATCTTCTCATACATGAAATATTGACCTTTAAACAGTCAACATCCCATAATAAGCAAACACTGATAATTTTTAGAGGTATATATAGACAGAGACAAGGTCAAAGAAGCCTTCTGTATAACCAGAAAGGAACAATGGGGTTATTCAGAGGTTTGGTCTCCTTCTTAGTTATATTCCTGATACAGAGGTCAAAAACTTCCCTTGTGAGGCTGAACGACAATGGTTATGAAGGCCTTGTCATTGCTATAGATTCTGGTGTGCCAGAAGATGGAAAACTAATTGAAAAAATAAAGGTAAGATTGATGAAATTCCTTTTGCTTGCATCATGAAAAAGAAAAAAAAACAATTATAGTGAAAAATTATTATGGAAACTCTGAAATCTCCAGAAAATTTAAAAGCAACATGGTGCAGTGGGGACAATGTTGGAAAAGATAAAGAAAGATGGAGATTCCAGATGGGGTTCTACCTCGTCTCAACACAATATTTTAAATAAAGCACAGGTCCCACCTGATCCTTAGTTTCCTCATTTGTAAATTAGTAGTTGGGTTTATCTGCTCTTTAATAAGTATTTATTGAATGCTTATGTTATGCTAGAGGAAAGAGCAGTGAATGAAAGAAAAAAGTCTCTGGTCTCAGGGAGAATGGAAGAGAGATCTAATTAGTAAAAATGAGTAAATTAACAGATCAGATGTTAGCAGGTTGCTATGGAATACACTAAACCAAGAAAGGGGGTATAGAGTGTGGGTGGGGCTGCAATCAGGGGAGGATATTCTTTTATGTAGGATAGTCAGGGCAGACCTCACTGATAAAGTAACATCTCAGCAGAGTCCGATGCAAGAGCCCACTGACAACCTGTGGGTTGGGCACAGTGGGAGGTGACAGCATGCTTGCTGTGACAAAAGAAATGATGTGGCTGAACAAGAGGAAGCCTGGGGTTAGCTGATGTTGGAGAGGAAGCAGGGCTCAGACCACTGGAAAGATGTGGCTTCTACTCTGAGATGAGAATCAATGGAAGGGTTTATGCAGAGGTGGTGTGTACTATCCTACATGCCCTAGAATCATTCCAACTGCAGTGTGGAGAAAATGGTGGAGGGTTTTCACTTGTCACTCTATCTGTACAAATGCTATTGCAGCATTGAAGTTTGAGGTACTTACTAATTCGTTACATCTTTATGGCAACCATAAAGATAGGTGTGTAGCAATGGTCCATTAAAGAGGTGAAGAAACTGAACTTCAGAACACTATATAAATCAACTAAGAAAGTACTAACACCAGTACTGGGACCAAGAAGATACAAAGTCCATTCATGTGCATATTCATATTAATTGGTTCTTCGAAACACCAAAAATAAGCAGTTGCCTTTTAGGGTAAGAGAACAGAAGACTGAGAAGCCTTTCAATGTGCAGGACAAAGCAATAGTTTGAATCTAACAGGTTGCAGCAATGGTACAGGGGGTGGAGACAATGTTCATCAGGCAGGTGCTTTTGTGTTGACAGGTACAAAGGGGAGATGTCAAAGATAAGCTCTGCTCCATCAGTTCATTCTCAGCCACACTCACATTTTTTTTCATTTGATAACAGGACATGGTTACTACAGCATCTACGTACCTATTTGAAGCCACAGAAAAAAGATTTTTTTTCAAAAATGTATCTATATTAATTCCTGAGAATTGGAAGGAAAATGCTCAGTATAGAAGGCCGAAAAATGAGACCTACAAACACGTAATTGTCCAAAGTCTTCTCTTAAGTGCTTTCTGCTGCTTTCTCATTTTAACCTCAATTCACTGTTTCTTGGTTTTTCAGATTTAATATTATAATTTCTATTTATGATGTTTTAATAAATTTTTAAACATTCTCAGGCCGATGTTAGAGTTGCAGCACCAGCCCTCCCAGGCAGAGATAAACCTTACACCAGGCAATTCACAGAGTTTGGGGAAAAAGGAGAATATACTCATTTTACCCCTGACTTTATACTAGGAAGAAAACACAATGAGTATGGACCATCAGGTAGTAAAATGTGGAGAAACATCTCATTTTAAACAAGCATCTCTGTTCCCAGATTTAGTGAACAGGCCTTAGAGAAGAAGTCTCAAGGTTCAAATCCTGACTCCTCTGTTTATTAGCTATGTGTAAACTTAAACAAAGGACCTTTTTGTGCTTATTCATGGTAAAATGGTGAATAGTTGAGTTTCTACCTTGTAGAAATTTTATTAACATTAAAATAGAGAATTCATGTAAATGTACATAATACAGTATCAATAATGTGTTCAGAAATTTGGACAGAGAGCATGATTAATAAATGTTTTCTTAAAGCATAATTTTTAGATTTCAATTTTCTAGTTTTCCACATGTGGTTATTAACAATCATATGTAAGTTCCATGGAAAACAGAGGCAAAGTAAGCTGGAGAGAGTCATCATGCCACTTTTTGATCAAGAGAAAAATCCATAGGCTGTTAGTTGCTGATATTATTATTTAAATTATTTGCTTGTATCAGATGAAATTGTCTATAGTTGATCATTTGGACCTATTGAAATGGAAATTTCACTCGTTCAATCTAAATATTAAGATCATTTGTTCAGAGAAATGAAAGAAATTATTTTACAGATAAAAATGCAAATCACTGTTAAAGAAGAGACCAGTTCACATGTCACTATTCAATGAAAACTTTCATGCAATCCCATGCCCCAGAATTGCCTCTCTCTCTCCTATTGCCAGTTCAGTGAACGATCATTAATCCCTGCCTTTACCAACATAGCCAGTTCTAGTCGTCAATATCTGTATCAGTTCCCCCTCTCCAACCTTGAAAGCTCCATTATTCCCTAAATCCCAATCTTACCTCTCTCCCATGTGTTATCTTGACCAGAATTGCTTTCCTTGGTCCCTCTAATTCTTTGCATCTGTGTAGCTGTACTTTCTTTCCTGTCATGTATAGCAAACTCAGTCACTTCAACCATAAATACAAATAGTTTGATTCCCCCCACTAACTCTTATCCTTAGCTTTGATTCAATTTATGAAGTCTCCTGTACTGAATGATCCAGTCTCTCTTTTGGCTTCTATGTTTCTCAGGTTGTTCAAGAAAATTACAAAACCAATTGACATCATTACAAATACACATTTTCTAAACTCATTGATGCCATCAAAGGTACTCCAAAAACTTTTACTTGACTTTTCTCAGCTCCCTTTCTCATTTCCCATAGCAACTGTTTTAAAGCTTTTACCATTTTTTCTCAAGATAACTAGCCACTCTTCTCACTCCCATAAATCAACAGATGTCTTTATGAAGCAAACTGAAGCCCCTACCTTTTCCTTTCTACATTATAACTCATGTCCCCTAGCACCTCTCTTCAACTCTGCCTATCATAGAAGAGAATTTTCTCCAATTTTTCAATGCCTCTGTCCCTTCTCAAGCTCTTGTTCTTCTCTCAACTCCCCCGCCATAGCTCTATCGTATGATTGACATAAATGTCCCCTCTTCCTCTTAGAAACTTCTGCATATATACTATATATGTTTCTTTAAAAAAATTCATATTCTTCAAAACTATGCCCTAAAAACAAAAAGATTTGTTTTAAAAAATAGACTCAGAAAATGATTCCTGATTCGAGAAACTTTTGGAACTTTGTAAAAATAACAATTAAAAAAACAATAATAATAGATACTTAGAGAGATGACTTTATCCACCTATGTAATGACTCAGTATTGTTGCCACAGCAGTTATTAAACAGACAGACAGACAGACAGACAGACACACACACACACACACACACACACATACACACACACACACACAGAGAGAGAGAGAGAGAGAGAGAGAGAGAGAAAAGCTATTTAAAGAATGAAAATGCCAGGCAGCTACCTCAGGAGGCTGAGGCAGGAGGATTTCTTCAGTCCAGGATCTCAACGCCAGCCTAAGCAACATAATGAAATCTGTTGAAAATTTAAAAAAAAAAAAAAAAGAATCAGAGAAAGAGAAAGGGAGAAGGAAAATCTGTGACAAGGTAGAGGAATCTGCCCTCAGCTGAGAATGATGTAACCTAAGCTCAGAGTATACCCTGGGTAAAAAGAGCCACTGGTACAGGCAATTTTAAATTTTCTTATAATTCCTATCATAGTGGTTTTTCCTCCATCCAGGGTTATAATTCTAGACTCAGTAGTTTTTGTTCAAGAAAACTTTATCCAGTGTTACTAAATTTTAACCTGTAAGAATAATTTAAAGTATGTAGATATTATGTTAACAAGCAGATTTCAACCAACTAGGTCAGAGGTGAGCCTGAGATTTACATTTTTTAAAATTTATATATGACAGCGGAAGGCATTACAATTCTTATTATACATATAGAGCACAATTTTTTCATATCTCTAGTTGTATACACAGTATATTCACACCAATTCATGTCTTCATAGCTGTACTTTGAATAATAATGATCATCACATTCCATCATTATTAATAATCCCATGACCCCTCCATTCCCTTCCAATCCCTCTGTCCTATCTAGAGTTCGTCTATTCCTCCCATGCTCCCTCTCCCTATCCCACTATGAATCAGCCTCCTTATATCAAAGAAAACATTCAGCATTTGTTTCTTGGGATTGGCTAACTTCACTTAGCATTATCTTCTCTAACTCCATCCATTTACCTGCAAATGCCAAGATTTTATTCTCTTTTATTGATGAGTAATATCTCATTGTGTATATATGCCACATTTTTTATCCATTCATCTATCGAAGGACATCTAGGTTGGTTCCACAGTTTAGCTATTGTGAATTGTGTTGCTATAAACACTGATGTGGCTGTGTCCCTGTAGTATGATGTTTTTAAGTCCTTTGAGTATAGACTGAGATATCTGGGTCAAATGGTGGTTCCATTCCCAATTTTCCAAGAAGTCTCCATACTTCCAAGCTTTCCATATTGGCTGCGCCAATTTGCAGTCCCACCAGCAGTGTATGAGTGTACCTTTTTCCCCACATCCTAGTCAACACTTATTGTTGTTTGTCTTCATAATAGCTGCCATTCTGATTGGAGTGAGATGAAATCTTAGAGTGGTTTTGATTTGTATTACTCTAATTGCTAGTGATGATGAATATTTTTTTCATATATTTGTTGATTGATTGTATATCATCTTCTGAGAAGTGTCAGTTCAGGTCCTTGGCCCATTTATTGATTGGGTTATTTGGGTTTTTTTGGTGTTTAACGTTTTGAGTTCTTTATA